CCCCCCCCTGCTTCCGCAGCCCAGTTTCCAACAGGTTGCAGCCCAGTACTGGGCTGCGGCTCAAGGGTTGGGTACCCCTGGTTTAGCAGCCCCGTTAACGTGCCCTCTTTTGTTTCCCCAGGGAATGAAATGGGAAATTACATCAAAGTTGAGATTGCTCAGGATGGAGAAAGTGAAACAGAAGGTGCTTGCAGGATGGAGCCACAGGCCAGCTACAGCCACGTGCCTGTAAAAGGCAAGAAGCCAGGGGGAAGATCCGAGCCACGAAAGCCGCAAGACGGAACAGAAAAGGAATGTCATGAGCAGGCCGTTCATCGGAAGGGATACCACAGGACTCCCCTTCCACATTCCTTTCCTAGGGAGGGCAGTCACGGGGTCCCGAAAATCCTCTCGGGCAAACCACCCTCCCTAAAGAGACCCCGCACCAGTCCGGAGCACAGCGTGGTGTGGAACCACTTCGAGTTGGATTCCGAGGACCCCTGCTACGGCGTCTGCACCCACTGCAAGAGACGGATCAGCCGAGGCAAGAATTCGAAACGTTTTTCGACGTCGGGGCTGCTGAAACATCTGCAGCGGCATCACGCCAACTTTGTCCCGGCTGTCGATACCGCGCCACAAACTGCGTTGCCGGCCAGCAGAAAGGCGAAGGGATCTGTCCTGCCGCAGGGCTGGACGAAGCAGAAGTCGCCCGGGAAAAGGCAGGCGGGTCCAAAGCCATCGGAAGCGCCCTGTGCTGTGGATCAGACGGTGGCTCTGGATGACCAGCCCTTCCGCCTGGTGGAAGAGGCAGGTTTCCAGCACCTCCTGAAGTTGCTCGCCCCCAACTATAAAATCCCATCCTGTACCGCCTTCAGCAGACAGATTGTGCCCTCCCTGCATCAGGCCTGCAGGGGGGAGGCCTTGGGGATGCTTCAAACCCCAGGACCCGCTGCCAGCGTGAACATGAACTCCGATGAATGAATAAGAGCCTGTTTTCTTCCTTCCTTTGATCTTCCGTTGCTCCTGTGAGCAACTGTAGGGGGCCATTGCTGGTCGGTGGTAGAGTAAATGATTTCGATTCACTGATTAAATCCATCACACCCCCAAAATTGAAATAATAATAGGCAAACGTGTCAGCCAAATGTAGAAAAGCGAGGGAAAATGTGAAATAAACTATGCCTTGTATATAAGAAAAAAAGGTTAGAGCATAAAAAATGGATCAATTGCAGTGTCAGGACGGAAGAGTGTTATTAATAAAAGAGCCCTGGTGGCACAGTGGTTAGAATGCAGTATTGCAGACCAACTCTGCCCACTGCCGGGAGTTCGATCCCATCCGGCTTAAGGTTGACTCAGCCTTCCATCCTCCTAAGGTTGGTAAAATGAGGCCCTAGATTGTTGGGGGCCATATGCTCTCTAAACAGCTTAGAGAGGGGCGATAAAAGCACTGTGAAGCGGGATAATAATCTAACTGCTATTGCTATTGCTAATATGAGCCAATCACTGGCGAACATAGAATACACTTACAAATCCCTAACTTTCTTCCACTGTTTAACTAACTTCAGAATTCTGGGCAAACGGGTAACAAATCCCATTTGCCACTCCACTGGATAGTGCAAGAATTTTACCTCTTGTTCAGCAGAAGGGGTGGGAAAGCTGATGTATGTATTACAGATTCCCACCTGACAGTTCAAAGGTAAAAATGTTTAGAAAATACGGAAAACAGCAAAGTTAGGGAAGAAATCACTTCTATCAAGTGGTCAGAAAAGAACAACAGTTGTGCATTTTATTTAAGAGGAAGGAAACTTCTGAAACTGCAGTAATCCGCTTCCAGATTCCTTAATGTGTATTACACACCTGCCCTTTCTCCCACATAGACCCTTTGTAGAGGTCTCCAAAATACCTGTGTGATATTGCTTATGCAGTAAGCAAATACATTTGTCCCAATTTATACACATTTTATACTAATTACTAGATGGGGGAGGCGCGATGGCTCAGCAGTTAAGATGCTCAAGTGGCCTTGAAACAGAGATGAGCTCCACCAGGTATAGTCAGCTACGACTAACGCAGTAAAATCCATCAGTTGTCCTTTAACTAGATGAAAAAGTTAATTTCTTGGTGGCCCTTCTTAATTGCCACCTCCTTCCCTTGCCTTGAGATTTTTTTGTAGGAAGCAAGAATCCTGTTCTTTGATCCCCTCCTCTTCTTGGCTGAAAAGGAAGTGACCTTTTCAGCCCCTCCAGATTTGACATTCAAGCCTTAACCAGAACTTGGAAATGGTAAGAATGAAAATTGAGATAGTAAAGATGAAAATAACCCCGAAATGTAATATCGCACTAATTGAAAACATAACATGGATGCTGATTGAACAGACTTGACAAGTAAAATGAATGCTCATTCCCAAAGATATAAAACATTTATACATCTCTGTTTAACCACTAAAGATAAAAATTTCAGAATAGTTTGGTGCAGAAAATCCAAGTAACAACTGCCTAAAGCAAAATGTATTTAATCTCATAACTGCTTGAAATCTTTTCCTCGACTTTTTGTCTGCTTGTCTTTTTTACACTCCGCGCTGTTTTGTAAGGATAAATTCTCATTATTTCTTTTTAAGTGCTTGCTTTAGTTTAATTCCTCATTCTAAACTTCCTTACAGCTTTGATTTAAGGTTCAAGTAGCTCTTAATGAATCCTTCCTGGACTCAGATTGTGAGATTGGTTGGTGAAGCAAATAAATCAACCTTCTGCAAAGATCTTTCTTCTGGTCTGCATCTTTAATGACTGAATGGCGGGGGACTGAACAGTGGAGGAATGGAATCAACTCCTTGCAGACAGCTGGTCATTTGCATTCTTTTAGAGCAGGGGTCCCCAACCACCGGTCCGCGGACCGGTCCCGGTCCGCGGAACAACTCCTACCGGGCCGCTGGCTTGCTGGGCGCCGCCATCTTTTTTTTATGAAAAAGTGCTTCCGGTGAGCTTTTCCGGGTAGAAAGCTCACCGGAAGCACGTTT